TGATCTCAGAACCGGAAAACGTCTTATGTTGGCAACTACAGCTATGGCAACTACAGTGGGATACCACAGAAAAAGGTAGATAGACGCACCGTCTTATACCTAAGATCGACATTTGGCTGAACCGGAGGCATGGATCCGGTGGAGGCAAGGATCCGCATGGAGGACCGGAGGTCAACTACTATCTAACGCAGACTCTATCTGGACACGGCTGCTTTCGTGCTTATCTTCAGCTCTTTAAACACTTATGATTTTCTCGAGTGTCCAGTTTGCCGAGAAGTTAGTGAAGATGCAAAGCATGTTTTCTTTGAGGCGCGTACTTTAGTCTACACTAGTCTACAGCGAAATGAACTGAAAACAATCCTAAAGCAGAGAATTAAACCAGTGATGCTAATTAGCATTGAGAGGAGAAGAGCGAATGAAAGGTGTATAACATCTCATCTACCACAAGAAAAAACCGTTGCTGGATCCTCCTACCACTAAGTAATGTCTAACGACGGTCTCCGTGGGGGCTACAAAACTTCAGGAAAGCGGAGGATTTAGTCGGTATTAACATTGTTGAGTCTGACAAATCCAGACAAGTTGAATCTGTTAAATACGTAAAGGTATTTACTTCGCTATAAAAAAACATACATACACACACATACACCAGTTTTTTCTAATGTGTGCTAAAATGTTCAGAAGGTTTTGTAATATAAAAATTTTCAGTTCCGTTTATTGTTATTACTATGACATACCCTACGGGAAGTTAATTAGTTTTGAACTATGAACATGTCTAAAATTTAAAAAAGATCACATTCACTAATTCTGTTTAAAATATGTAGAAACGAAAAAATATCTAAATACAAAAATATAAGAAAATTTATTCATATTAATTTTTTTATTCAATAACAGGTTACGGGTAGTTAATAAATACCTAGACCAAGTACTGCGGCAGTAATAAAAGTTCATTGTATTTCTAAATTGAAAAATTAGATTAATTTAATATTATGCCTCCTTTGACTATGAATTCCAGCAATAATCCGGAACTATTAATATAAAGTCGTAAATGAGTGACTGCTATAAATTTAAGTGTGTAATAGGCCAGTGAACTAAATAATTATGATGAAGATTTAGTATATTTAAAATAAAACAAGGTTGAATTGATTTAAAACTAGTGGTGCATAGCATCGTGCCTTAAGGCCAAATTGCTGGAACTCCCCGCAAAGTCCGTTAAAGTTTTTAAAAGCTTCAATTTCTTTGAAATTTTCGAGTTTTTTTTTAAATGTTGAAAATATTTGATAAATTTAAAAAAAATTACAACTTAATAAAATCGACCGTTTAAACAAAAAAAATTTCCGATTTTATTGATACCTCAGTCTTAAAAATGTAATCAGTTGTTCATTCCTCCAATACAATTAAATTGTTTTATGAATCATCCCGTAATTTTTAGACGGCTGAATTGCCTTTCCCAAAAACTAATCAGCACGTCCCATATCCTGATCAATATTTTTCGAAATCTTTCAAAATCATTTTATCCGTGCTCTCGAAATCGTTCACAAATACACCAATTCTTTCTAAGTTTTGCCAACAGAAGAATACTCGAAACGTGAAGTTATATAAAAAATTTCATTTTCAATTTTTTTCGATTACGATAACTCACCCTATAGATACTATGGGAAGTGAACGAACATATTGTCATTTATGGCTATTGATGCATACGTTCTCTTTTTTATTATATGAATTTGTATTAAATTATAATGAAAGACTTGGAAACAAAATATTTTTTTTTTTATTATTGATCCTCTGATTTTATTTTATTTATTTTTTATCGCCTAACACATCGTTGTACCTACATACTTCACAGAACGTAATTATTCAGTTGTAATATATAAGCTTTTGTTTTATATTTTGTATCGAAAGAATATTAGATGTTAATTTATTTTAAACTAGCCACTTCTAATATATATTCAATAGAATGGAGAAGGCTTTTTGTAACAGTTTTCATTGAACCTATTATATCTTAATATCGATCTATTAAATTTCGATTTAATTTTTAGAGATGGATAGATTTACTTCTAGCTTTCTCCTTCCCTTTGTAAACTTTTTACCTTAAAAATAAAACTACCGACCACCCTCTTATAGCTGTATCAACTGCGCGCGGTCGAATTGACTGGCAAGTAAAAGGTTATGAATTTTATAATTCAATACAAATAATGATTGATTTGAACATGTGCATTTGTTACCTAACATATTTATCGCATTTCAAAAAGATTTTTATTGTTTGAAAACCTTTACACAAATTTATTCCACAAGTTTTGCGTATCAATTTGTAGACGGTATTCGTAAAAACTTTCCCGAAATTTGGTATTCTTTTTTCATTTTTTTGTGACACTCTTGTGTCTGCTATTTGTATTAGTTTTCTTGATGGCGACTTTATTCAAAGTGATCTAATCTTCTATGGCACAAGAGCTTTATCATTATCAGAGAATATAAATGGAAGCAAAATTATATATCGACTAGCAAAAATGAAACGCGTTCATACTTCCGCTGACTACGACACATTGTGCATGGCTACATAATGCGATGCGCTTTATGAGTAAATCGAGCCAAAAAATATAATAATACCTATTGAAAAAGTTTCAATAATGGCTTATTGAAAAGTCTGCATTTATTTTCACAACATTACATGCATATGAGAGTTTATAATTTTTCTTTTTTAGTTTATTTTACCTTCAGTTTTGACTCATTCATGTCATTTGCGTAGTTTGTTATAGCAATAAGACCAAGCCAGGACCATATCCAGTACCAATTTCCTTTCGAGAAGAAAATAAAGCATCAGTCACAATCATCTTTTGCAAAAATTAAATTTATGAAAGGTTCTTTTTTGTTTTTTTGTATTTCATATAAATAAATTTTAAAATTTGGTGTCAGGTGCGACAAAGACGGAGACATTTCGAGACATTATAAGTTATCGAAACATACCCATGTGGAAAGCATGCGTGTCGGATGCTACTTTACAAAAAGAAAACTAGTGTACGATTTACAAGATAGTACAAAAGAATATAATATAACCGGAGGTGTGCCACAAGGCTTCGTTCCCGGCTCATTGATGTAGTATATTCTACATGGTAGCCTCTTTAGCCTAAGGTCAGACTAGTAGAATAAAACATGATGATGATGATATGGCCACAGTGGTTGTTGCAAAACAATTTGATGAGATTGTCATTTGACATAAGTTTGGTGAAAATTTATTGCTAAATGAAAACAAAGAACCAATAACTGGCACAACAAAAGAGTGAAGCTGTTCTTATTATAAGCAGAAAAGTAGTAGAGACCATCAAGATGAAGATATGCAATATAGAGATTGCATCAAAATCAAACATTCGTTTTATTTAGGGGTAACGCTTGATTCTCGACTTAATTATTATTAACCAGCAAACGAACGTGGCTAAGTGATTAAAGGCTCGAATCATTTGTGTTGGGCTAATTATAATCTGCTTCCATGTTTTCTTGTCCTGTGTTTCGGCTTTCAGTTAGTTTCCTGCATTTCCACTTCTCGCGTAAGTCATCAACCATCTGCATTCTTTCCATTCCTTTCAGTCCTTTTAATTTAACTTCGACTACGTAGTATAAGAGGCGCTATTATGGCAGAACGGATTTTATCCAGTTTCCCTTTCTTGTCAGGATCGTGCTTAGCAGAGTCCTGTCGCCCACACTTCTCAGGACTTCTTCATTTGTTATCTTGTCTGCCCACTTTATCTTCTTCATTCTCCTCCAGCACCACATTTCAAAACTCTGCAGATTGTTTATGTCGGCCTTTCCTAGAGTCCATTTCTTTGATCCGTACAGAGATATGCTCTAGACATAGCACTTTATTAGTCTCTTTCAAGTCGAGACTCAGTTTGCTTGTCAGTAGCGTTTTTTTCTTAGGCAGATGTTTTTCATGCAGTATCTGTCTCTGGCCAGAAGACTTTTTCGTCTCCATATCTCTCCTCACTTGAACTGTATTATTACTCAAGTTTTGCACATTTCACCTCTGTCTCGTTTTACCCGTTTTGCGAATATTCTTTAGTTGTGTCTCTATATCGGCTTTAAGAAGAATCATGATCGCAGTCCTAGTCGGCCCCTGAAAAAAACTTCTAAATCTATTTTTGACGAAGATATATTCAATTTGATAGCGTCTGCTGTCTTCTGGCAATTGCTGCAAACGGCACATTGCCTTTAACGTTGTATTTTGGTCTCAGTAAGTAGGACTCTCTAATGAAAATTTGTGATTGCAGTCTGCAATTTGCAGAGGTGTCACGTCCTGTCATTGGTGTAGACTTACTTGCCTATTCCGTATGAAGGTTGTGCAAGTTTAGGAAATCAGAAAAGACAACCATGAATTCAGCGAGTTCACCGCGAATGGAAAACAGAATAAAACCGTATGATAAAATAAGGACATCTAGTTCGTCCCCATTTGATAAGATATTTTAAGAATTATTCAGATTTAAGTCGACAGACCGCATTGGGTGTAAGCAAATATTTTAACTAAAATCACATGGAAACTACATCCAGAGCACCTGTAGTACATAAACCACGTTGTCTTGCACCAGATAAGTTAAGTCTGCTAATATAACATTATTCATTGCCCAACCCCAACGACAAGGATGTGTCGATTCGGGGAGGCATAATATATATATATATATATATATATATATATATATATATATATATAAGCGCATAAAACCGATAGCACAAAAATTAAATAACTAAAAAATTGATCGCACAAAAACAGGTTTCACTGAGTATATATAAAACATACTCGTGTTGAAATTGAAAATTGTGCTGACGTCGAAAAGTATTCAGACCACCCTCATATATATATTTAGAGAGAAAGAAGGAGAGAGAAAAGAAGTAAAATAATAAATATATCACTGCATATGGTTGAATAATTTATTTATGCTGTTCAAGCTATTTAAATAATATTTAATTTAATAATATTTAATATAAATATATTTATATTTCATAACAAACCTTTTCACACATTTGTCTTTATTGAATTCATCCCTTTCACCATACGCAACAGATTAATAATAACAGTGCTTTGTCTATCCAAATTACCTTCTGCTATTGACAAAGTCTTTCAAAAAACATTTTACTTTCTTTACATTTAGGATTTGTGCAATGCGCACATAATGTCAGAAATTTAGCATCAACTTTTCTTGAATTCTTCAAATGCTTGTGTACGATATCCACTAATGCGTCAATGAAAATCGGATGATCATTTGGAGCTGCAGCTCTCCTAATCCTCTCTACGCCAATCTGTGACAAAGTAATTTATTAATTGTAGAATGATGTATTATCTTTATGTAGAATACAATTAATAATGCCGCAAAATTTAAATATCGTTTCAATTAATGATGATGCAGAATTGTATAGCAGTTCAACAATTAATATGAGCATTTATAGGTATAGATATTCTATTCAATATATTTTTATATATTATTCAATTAAAAAAAACTTCAAGATATTATTTAATTATATATAAATATAATTATTATTATACACATACATATGAATATATAATTAATCAAAATATAAATGTGTATATCGTGTTTTATTAAAAATGTTTCACAAAGAAATGTTCCATATGCAGAATTTATGAAGACGCGCGTCGAGCAATGCTGTTCCTAGTCGTTGCAAATCAGAGACGACTTACGCGGGTGTTATATGAGCGCGAGCGTGTACTTGCAGGGGTTTTTTTAATTTTAAATATGTTCTACCACATGAAATAAATCAAAATTTTGGACAGTAAAAGAAAATTGAATAGCCTTTCTAATGATGCTAATTAAAAATTAGTCCAAATAACCGCTCTACACGAAAATTCAAAATAAAAAATTATTTTCACTTTTTCATGCACTAAAATATAATTATTAAACAATATAGTGCACACCGATGTAAATAGAATGGCGTTATTTGTTTGTCGATATCTTTTACAGTTGCGACAAAAAACGACTTTGAAAAAAGGGGCCACTTTCACACATTTTCAATGATATTTTGGCCAAATGAGATACGGATTTCAAATTTGGTATATCAGATTTTCGAGAAAATGCCTATAAAATGGCATCAAAATGATTTAAATACCAGAGTGGCGCCAATTCTGTATGGAAACACGCCTATACTTTTTCCAATGATTCATGCGAATTAGCAAAAACTAAATATATTGATAATATTATTTTCAATTCTCATAATAAACAAAAACGATGTGGTCGCTCATAAAATCAAAAGTTAACTTTAAAGCAAATTTTACTAATATTGAATGCTTTAATATTAATAATATAAAAACTGATATACTTTCAATTGCTAGCGCATTTAATATTTTTTTCCTTAACGGAACTTTTATTTTGACTTCAAATATAACTATTGATCTGGTCATTTTGAATGCGATCTTTTTAAAAATAAAAACAAATTTAAATTATTTCTGCGTGTATCCTATAACTTTTGATGATTTGTCGCAAGCAAGTTATTATATAACTCTCATTCTTAAGAATCAGATGAAATTTCATCTGTCATTTTAAAACAGTTTTCTTCCAATATTTATTGATAAAATTCTCGCATTCTTAAATAACGTGAAAATATTGCATAGCTGCCTCAATAATTTAACAAATAACAACTATTTACAAGCTAAATTAAATATTAATTCCAACTGTGATGACTCTTTTTGACAAAGTTCCATACAAAGGTTGTGGATAAAGTGATATTTGTAGAAAATGTATATATGAAATATGTGTTTCAAACAGAAATTGCGCTTACATTATTTTTAATAATAGTATTTTACAATTTACAAAACATTGAGCCTGATTAAAATAAATTTAACAGTAATTCTTACCAAAGCAAGATTTATAAAAGTAGTAGGAGTAGATAAAGATTTTTCTTTATTATGTTTAGCAAATGTATATTTAGATTGTAATTTTTAATTTTGTTGTTCAACTTAATAATTACACATCATCGCATTGATTGAATAATGTAGCTATTATTCTAAAACACCTCTTTAAAATGAAATAGTGGGCCGTTATGTTATCTGACTGTCCTCTTTTACTCAATGAGGTAATAAGAACCAGATGACTAATTTTAAAAAAAAAATTACCAAAATACATGTGTTGACAATGATGAATTAACTGGATATTTTACTAAACACTGCATTATAAGTAATTGCTAAAATCAAATTGGACTTTTGCACCTCGCCCATCTCAATATGCTCCAGAGTGGGCAAACCCTCGAGTTCGTTTTAATGGCAAAAGATAGCCTAACCAATACCGTTAAGTGAGCGTTTTCGTCTTTTACACACTTATAATAATAAAGTAATTTATTTTTGCTACTCTAGAAATTTCATTGAAATGCTTTACATGGTAAAACAACGTTTGCCAGGTCAACTACTATATAATAGCAGCAATATAAAGTAGCTATGTAATTATATATTATAAATGCAGTATTACCTCTTTAGCAAGATCGTGGCAGTATTCTATATCCAGTTCATGTAAGGTCTCGATGTGTTCATTAACAAATGCCACAGGAACTAGTATAAAATGCTTTTTTCCTTGTTTCACATAACCCTGAAATTAAATGTTATATTACTTTAACGATACCAAGTTAAACCATAGCATGAGCTATACCATAATCTATTTTAAAGTTATTATTACAGTATATGATAAAAATATCCAAAAAATCAATTAGTAAAATAAATAAATATCTAAAAAATCAATTAGTAGTTTTTTTTTAATTTCATCAATGTTATTGGTCGTAATAACATAATAATAAATGTAGTCTGCCCGAAGGCAGCTCCTTGGGGTAAAATACCACCACAAATAAATGATTCTCCTACCCTTCATCTATTATTCCAATTACCACTATTCCCTCTCCCCTATTTTTCATATATTTTCCGTTCCAAACTTCTGCTTCCATGCTTCTTGATCATGTGCTTCGGCTTTCAGTTCTTCTTCCCATTCCATTTATTCCTTCTATTTTACCCTCGACGACGTCTTGCAGGAGGCATTTTTTATGCAGAAGAGATCCGATCTAGTTTTTTTTCTTCTCAGAATTGTGCTCAGTACAGTCCTTTCTTCGCCCACTCTTCTCAGGACTTCTTCATTTGTAATTTTATCTGTCCACTTTATCTTCTCCATTCGTCTCCAGCACCATATTTCAAAACTCTCGAGGTAATTTTTATCGACCTTTCTTAGAGTCCATGTCTCCAATCCGTACAGAGCTACGCTCCAGACATAGCACTTTATTAATCTCTTTAGCAAGTCGAGACTCAGTTTGCTCGTCAGTAGCATTCTCTTCTTCGTGAATGCCGCCTTGGCGCTTGCGATCCTTGTCCTGATCTCTTTCGTGGAGAATCCGTCTCTGGTCAGTATGCTTCCCAGGAATTTGAAATGATCCACGTCTTCCACTTCTCGATTTCCTACCGTTACCCTCAACTGATTATTTTTTTTTATGATTCTCATCACTTTCGACTTGTTCTGCTCATCATGTTTTGCAGCTGGGTTTGGTTTTTCGATATCACTACTAGATCATCAGCGTACTTTATGGTGGTGATTCTTCTTCCTCCAATCAAAAAAATCACCTGCGTTGGGTTGAATGGCTCGGAGCCATTCTCCGTACAGGTTGAATAGGATCGGTGACATACAGCATCCTTGCCGCACACCTCTACCTATTTCAACGCCGTTTGTATCTCCCTGGTTCACTCGAACCTTTACTTTCCGTCTCATATACAAATTCAGGAACAGCCTGCGACCCCTCCAATCGATATTAATAGATTTTAAAATTCCCATAAGCTTACTCCAGTTGACTCTGTCGAAAGCTTTCTGCCAATCTATAAAACAGAAACATAAGTCCTCGTTAACGTTAACATCTGTCCGACATTATCCTCAATTTTCCAATAGCGTTCCTAGGGCCTCTTCCTTTCCTGAAACCAAACTGGTCTTCGCTCATGTGCTGCTCGATTCTATTTTCGAGTTGTCTCATAAAGATTTTGGCCAGAACCTTCCCTATGTGCAAAATTAAACTGATCCTCCTGTAGTCGCTGCATTTATTCGCTTTGGCCTTTTTCTGAAGAGTCCTTTGGCCATTCGGTCGTTCGGCATATTTCATTCAAAAATTTGATCAGTTTCCTCAATCCGTTGTTATCCAGCACTTTCGGCAGGTCCACCGGTATGTCGTCATCTCCCGTTGCTTTCTTTCTTCTCATCTCATTTATTGCTCTCTCGACTTCGCTTTTTAATATGGAAGGTCCCTTGTCTTCATCCACTGCTTTCTCTTCTTCAATCTCAATATTATCAGGACGATTTTCTCTATCGTAATATTTCTCAATGTATTTTCAATGTAATTACAAGGAAACGGCTTGGTATATTTTCACCTAAAACTAATCAGTATCATTCCCAACTAATATCTTTCGAACAGTTTTTGATTTTTTAAAATCGATTCGGTAGTATGAGCTTAAATGTTTTACACTTTTTTCCAAATTTCAAAGAAACGGCTCGGCCGATTGTCGCACAAAACTGACAAGCGATAATCCTCATTGAGGCACAACAAATGGTTTTCAAATTTCCGAAATCGGTTCAGGCGTTTTCGAGCAAACGTCGATGAAAAGTCTAATTTTGGCAAATGACAAAAAACGATACTAATTTTTGCAAACTTTGACGAATTTTTAAAGCTAAACGAGTTGTCTTAGGGCCGTTATATTTCAGTATGATCTAGAAGACTGGTATCTACCGTCAAAAAAATAATGATAAAAATCGTCGAAATTTTTTTTTTTAACACTTAATTACAAGAAAACGGCCCGGCCGATCTCTACCAAAAACTCATCAGCACGATTTCCAACCAATATCTTTCGAACGGTTTTTGAATTTTCAAAATCGATTCAGAACTGCGGGCTAAAACGTGGACGAAATTTTTTTCACTTTTCTGCTATTTGCAAAGAAACAGCTTGGCTGATCGCCGCGCAAAATTGATAAATGCTAGTCCTCATGGAGATACTTCGAATGGCTTTTAAATTTTTGAATTCGCTTCAGCCGTTTTTGAGAAAACGTCGATTTACGGGAAAAGATTCGCTAATTTGATGTTTTCTCGACGTTTCAACCCATTCTGAATCGAATGAACCAAATTTGGAAAAAGTATGTGTGTATGTGTGAACATATTTTTTTTTACCGTAAGGGGCCGTTCAAGTATTATGTAAGCACTATAGGGGGGTAGGGGGGGTTATTGATTTCTTATTTTGAGTGACGTTTTGGTGACACCTTTGCTTACTTTTGGTGACATAGGGGGATGGAGAGGTAAATAATTATACTAAATCTGCTTACGTAATACTTGAACGATCCATAAATCGACGTTTTCTCAAAAACGGCTGGACCGATTTCAAAAATTTAAAAGCCATCCGATGTATCTCGATGAGGACTATCGTTTGTCAGTTTTGCGCTACGATCGGCCGAACTGTTTCATAAATTAATATATTACTTTATCTTATATCATATCACAAAAGTATGTATTATGACACATAGATCACCATATTTTTTCAAACTTTGATTAATTTTTAAAATTGAACTACTTGTCGTAGGGCCGTAATATTTTATTATGGTTTCTGGGATCATGATATCTATCAACATAAAAAGTTCAATAGTCAAAAAAAAAATTTCAACAAATCTCAATTAAAAATTAATCAGCACGATTCCGCAATATATATCGTACGGTTTTTAAACTTTTCAAAATCGATTCAGGAAAGCACGATAAAACGTAGACTAAACAATTTTTACTTTTTTGCTTATTACAAAGAAACAGTTCGGCTGAGCGTTGCACAAAACTGAAAAACGATAGTCCTTATCGAGATACATGAAACTGCTTTTAAATTTTTGAGATCTCTCCAGTCGCTTTTGTGAAAATGTGGATAAAAATTCAGATTTTAACAAACGTTTTCAAAAACTAGTGGTGTATTGCATCGTGCCTTAAGGCAAATTGCTGAAACTTTCCATATCAAAAACCAATTTTTTTAAATATATATATATTTTTTTAACTTTGAAAAATTTGATTTTTGAAAATTTTGAAATTTTTGAATAAAAATTGACTTGTTTGAAAAAATTGATTTTTTGAAGAAAATATTCTTTTTTTATATTCAGAAATATTTTCATTTTTTTTTTTCAAAGCAATCTCGCTGCTTAGCTGCATAAGAAGAATTATCGAAGCGAGTAAGCGCCGCGTCTCTTATAACGGACAAATAATATAACGAAACCCATATAAATGTGAACTAAATTTAAAAATCTCTATAAAATATCTGATAATTTGATGCGCATATGTCTGATGATCATTTATGACCGCCAAATGTCTTTTTTTTCACTTTTTTACTCGATCTCGGAAACCGCTAGACCTGCCTTTCCAAGCAGTTAATCAGTTCTTTGTCAATACAAGTAAAATATTTATTGAATTATTAAAATTGGACGCTCTGTTCTCTTAAAAACCGAGTTACCGTTTTTGGAACTTTTCGCCCCGTATCTTCGAAACAGCTAAACCTATCTTGTTCAAAAACTAATTAGCACGTCTCTTATCAATAGCAATCGAATATTTTTTGAATAATTCAAATCAATTGGAATGTTTTCTCGAAATCGTCGGCGAAAATTTGTATCCGCACACACACACGCACGCACATACATACACACAGGCATAAGTGTTTGAGTGTGTTGTATATAACAGAATACTATCAAACCTTTAAAGCCTCATCAGTATATGGTTCTAACCAAGGCAGTGGACCGACTTTTGACTGCCACACTAATGTGTATGGGTTACAGTTCTGCAATTCTTGCATTACCAAATGTACGGTTGCTCCAATTTCGGATGGGTAAGAATCGCCACGATTCACAGCCTGAAAGGTATTAAAACATTATTTTAAACAATTAGCATTTCATTGTCATAAAAAAATTAACATTACAGTGAAGAGGGCCGCGTAATTTAAAAAATAAGTATTTTATTATATTAATAAACAAAAAAATATTATTAGTGCAGTAAACGGAATGGAAAAAATTATAACCTCTGATTTTTTTTTACTGTGCTCCGATTTGCATGAAATTTTGGAATTAGGTTCATCTTACCCTCAAGTTCAAAAGTGAAAACAATTTGGACTCCGCCATCATCCCCCGGTGGGGATGAAACCCCTTCTCAGTCATGTAATTTTATTTTTTCAAAATAATGTCGGATATCGATAAAAGAACTAATTATAAGAAAAAAATGTTTTAAAGTTTTGCAAGTTACCGGCTACTAAAAATTCTTATATTTTAGCAGCTTGGTTTATTACTGTGTAATAGTGCAGTTAGTGTAATTAGTTTTAACAGTTAATTACAAGAAAACGGCTCGGTAGATTTTCACCTAAAACTAATCAGTATCATTCCCTACTTATATCTTTTGAACAGTTTTTGATTCTTTTAAATCGATTCGGTAGTATGAGCTTAAATGTGGACGAAAAGTTTAACACTTTTTTCCAAATTACAAATAAACGGCTCAGCCGATCGTTGCACAAAACTGATATTTCCAAAAAAGCTATAATAATTTTTGCAAACGAAAGAAGAATTTTTAAAATCAAACGACTTGCGTAGGGCCGTAATATTTTAGTATGATCTACAAGACTATGGTATCTACCGTCCATATTCATATGTGTGGAAATAATTAACAACTAAGCTTTCCAAGAAATTATTCAATATAATTATAAAAAGATTCAAAATATTAATCACTAACATTTTCTTATTTAAGATGAACAATATTCTACCAAGAGTAGTTAGTAAAAATTGTCAACTTACTTTTAAAGGAAGAGAGTGTGCTGAAAAAACGATCAACACATTATTTCTTGTTTCCTCATTAAAATGCTTCAATTCATCTTGTACCCTCTTCGCAATCGTTTTAATTAAAAGTGGATGCGTACTCCATCGATCAATTACACTCCAAGTAATATCATTAGGTAATCCGCTATTAACAAATATGCATTATTAAAATTTGTTAAATCAAAACTATAAAACTTTCTCCATAATAATTTAATAATTATAATTTTAATAATTCCAATTGATTCTTTGTTCTAGAGCAGTTTATAATGTTATGACATGCACAAAAACTATTTATGCTGACGCAAAGTAATTAGAGTAAGAAAACCATGGGTCGTTCGCTTTGCATTGTGTAAAATATAAATTTTTTATTTGAATTTATGTTATAACCGTAAACAAAAAACAAACACTTCTCAGTGATTTATTCTTTACAATTTTGCTACGAGTGCCTGCAAGCCGCAAAAGTATTTGTTACATGAAGATAAGATATGTGTAACGTAGGATTTTCCAATCATTATCAACAAAATTATATTTACAAATTATACTTCTGAAAGAAATCCAGAATAACAAATTAGAACTCTCAATAATTTAACTCAGAAAGATAAACATTGTCAATAAAAGTCGACACATTGGATGACATCTATAGGCGACGCTCATAGCAAAAGTTGAACCCTTTCATAAGAAAATAATATAGTGCAGTTTTTTGTGCCCACTCTTTTCTTACCTATATAAAAATCTTATTTTACAATATGTTTTTGTATTTTTCAAAGGCTTTTATAAAATTCATATATCTTGAATTTATTAGGTGGATGTTAAAACAATATTAATTTATAACTGAGAGAAAATTCCGAAACCCGCTTGCATAAAATAAAATTATAAAAACTTACTATTTCTTATCAAACGTATAAATCTCATTGAAACTCGAACCTGAAGTAGCACAACTGTATTGTGGATACTGTGAAAATAAAACGACCCTCTTCGGTTGATCTCTAAGTGATGATAGTTTGATTAGTACTTATAGATATATCATAACAGATACAACATATAATTCCTTACACTGCTATCTGATCTATAGCATCTTTAGTAAAAGGATTGACGTATCGAAAAGCAATATAATGTTTATGAGGAGCTGCAACAAAAAAATAAATTATATTAACATATACGAAAATAATACATACTTAAAATAAATACTAATTGTTGTAAAAAAATATTATTAACTATATTACGCAACATATTTTTTAATCGAGATGATAAAACTACACCTACTGCGAAAACATGATATTAACTACAAGTTAGGGTTCATTACAAAATGCCGAACAATTATTTAGACAAACAACTCTATGGTTTTTTAATATATGTAGTCTGAAAAAATTATATATATTCACTCAATTACATTTTTTTTAAAATAAAAGTAGAAATAATAATATCTGTAGGTCATACATTAACATATTAAAGTTCATATAGAAATCTAACTTACATAAAAAATAGTTTTATTTTTAACTCGCGAAGGAGAAGTTTGTTTTCTAAAAAAAATACGATTCGCAAATTTTATGTTTTCTCAACGTTTCAACCCATTCTGAATCGAATGAGATCAAATTTGGAAAAAGTATGTATATGTGTGTGTGTGTGTGTGAACAGATTTATTTACCGTAAATCGACGTTTTCTCAAAAACGGCTTGACCGATTTCAAAAATTCAAAAGCCATTCGATGAATTTCGATGAGGACTATCGTTTCTTCAGTTTCGCGCTACGATAGATCGAACCGTTTCGTTGTAAATCGCAAAAAAGTGAAAGAAAATTCGTCCACGTTTTAGCCCGCAATTCTGAATCGATTTTAAAAATTCAAAAAACGTTCGAAAGATATTGGTTGGGAATCGTGCTGCTTAGTTTCTGGTTAAGATCGGCCGAGCCGTTTTCTTGTAATAAAGTGTACTTGTAATTTTTTTCCGACGATTTTTATGATTTTTTTTTGACGGTAGATACCATAGTCTTATAGATCATACTAAAATATTAAGGCCCTTCGACAACTCGTACCGAGCCGTTGTCTTGTAATTAATAGTTGAAAAAAAATTAAGCCGATTTTTATGGAACTTTTTTTGGCGATATATACCATGGTCTTATAGAACTTACTGAAATATTACGGCCTTACAAGTAGTTTAATTTTCAAAATTCATCAAAGTTTGAGAAAATGAGTAGTTTTTTTTGACGTTTAATTGTTAAAATTAAAATTAGACAATTTACTTGGTATAACGATAGAGTACTTGGTCTTAATGAACATACTAAAGCATTAAAGTCCTACGGAAACTGATTCAATTATAAAAATTATTGATTTGTGCTTTTAGAAAATACTCCGAGTTAACGTGTTCGTTCGTTTTCAATTATGTGTAATAAATCCACTCGGAATACTTTTAATCACTCATAAATTAGTTTATTTTTTATTGATTAAGTCGATTATTTACACATATCGGAAAGTTCATGCAACTTGCCTCAAGGCAAAATAACCAACTAGTTATATTTAATTTTTAAGTGATTTTTTATTTTAGAAATCTTTTAAAATAGCAGGCAAATAAACTGAAATATTGAATATTTTTAGTTTTTTTATAGAAAGATATCAACAAATTACAAGGCAAGACATTTCAAGTTCTAACACTTAAATCGATTTAAATCTGTTTTTCGAACGCATGTTTAATCACATTGATCATGCTTTAAATACCTAGTAATTTCATTATGTTATTTAGTTTAGATAAATATTGATATTTTTCTTTTGTTAATGTTATTTCATTTTAGAATTACTTATGCGCCCCATCCACTAGGCAATTAGTCGGCCGACCAATTTGTGGAAAACTGATAATTAATGACCATATTTCGTATAATTTATCCTTAGTAATAAATTCGGGTTATGAAAAAAAATTCATTAAATGCAAAAACCAGAAGTTATTATATAAGTATTTGCGTTGAGAATGGCTTTGTAAGTGAAGCAGATAGAATAAAAAATTAGTGAAAGATAATGGTGTGTTAGTACAATTTACAGAGTGATGAAGAGAGAATCACATAATCCAGAGTGATTACAGTATCAGAAGTGAGATTACAAGAACGTAGACAGGAATTACAGGAACTTGGGCGGAGCTACAAGGATCTGGACGAGATAATAAGGATCTGGATTAAAATTTGAATCTGGACGGGATCTGAACGGGATCTGAACGGGATCTGAACGGGATCTGGATCGGTGTAAGATCTGACGGATTGGATCTAATGTGCTTAGTTGATTCAGTGCCATGTGATGATGATGGTATGAAACCTGCAAATGTAGACATAAATGATGATAAAAAGAAGCAATTTACCAGGGGGTAGAAAATTTAAAGGCTGACAAAGAATCCAAAAGCAAAACAATTGCAGTAATGCAAGATGCTTCAACAGAGTTCAAAGCAGATAAGAAAAAAATAAAGAAAGTATTAAAAGAATGATCCGAGCAGAAACAGAAGCTGTTACACAAGAGCAAACTATCTTGAAGAAGAGTTCATGGCAGGCAAATGCATTAGTGAAAAATGTATTGGAGAAAAATGCAATAGTAGAAAATATATAAGAGGAAAATGCATCGGAAAAAGGTGCATCGAAACAGGGTGAACTGCGGAAAATTGTTTTGAAAGCAGTGTTGGAGCGGAAGCAAGGCAGCGAAGAGAAGGCGGCGAGCAGAAAAATCTAAATTAGGAAGCAGGTTGGTAGAAAAGTATTGATAAGAACACTGGTACGTAATTATGTGAATATGGAACATAAACAAAAAAATGGATTGATTTTGGAGTTAAGAGTCAACAGTGCAAGATGACTGCAAAGAACAGGATTGGCCGAAACTATAATATTATGTAAGTAGATTGTGGTTATAAAGCAAGGATCATTAGTGCGAATCAATTAGATAGATGTCTTTGTAACAGCACAGGGTGAATATTATTTGTTACCCAGTCAAAGGCGTTTATGAAGTTATAAGTATTTGTGTTGAGAAGGGAGTTGTAAATGAAGCACATAAAATATAGAATTAGTAGAAAACATTAGTGTTTTAGTACAAATTTCAGAGTGACTAGTGATGTATTGCATCGTGCCTTAAGGCAAATTGCTGGAACTTCCCGTACCGTAACGAAATGTTCGAGGAATATTAAATGTTTTCAAATAGATTATTATAAGGAATGTAACATTGTATAATATTTATAAAAATTATATAAACTGAATCACAAAGTCAAACATATTTATTTAAAGTATATAAGTAAAACTGTAGCCACATTCTCAACTCTGAACTGTACAGTTAACAATTGAACTTTCTAAAGAAACAATTGCTCAGAATCGGCCAGCTTTGGCCAATAGGACAGGAATTGTGTTCCATCAGAACAATGTCTGGCAAAGTGGCAACACACATCGATAGAGACTCGCCAGAAGCTCCGGGATATTACAGTTCGCACCAAGGTTGGTAATATGTTCCTGTTCAAGTCGAACAGTTTTGCTGATAAAAAATTCACTTCAGGAGATGCTTGTATAAATCGACTGTCTCATTTTTTGGCAATTGGTACAAAAGTTTCTATGAGCGGAGCATAATAACATTACATTTGAAATGGCAACAATATCTAAATCGTATCATTTTAACTATAATAATTAAAATCTTAATTTACCTGTTTCTGGTGATACTATGTCTAATTTTTTACAAAGTAATTCCCCTTGTAAGTTAGTCCATTTTAGTATAGGTGAACCACCACCAATTTCTTTATATTTTTGTTGCACATCTTTAGTTCGCCTTTTGGCGATCCATGGGCCCAATTTGCTGCAATAGAAATTAATATCAAGTTTAATATGGATAAATATTCCTTGGAGAATAACATAGGTTCTCGAACATAAAGAAAAATACTCTCATACATATCTCAAATATAGAAAAATATACTTAATAAAAAATGTATAACTGAGATTTAGGGGCCGATTCTGCCGTAAAATAGAACCATGTTATGGCAAGGCTATGTTATGTAGCAGTTTTATATAAAGTGGTACTATAAACTGTCAATATCCTATGTGGTTGTTGTGCAGTCAGGCGTTTTAGATGGATAACCTAACCTAGAAAATTCACAAACAGAAAAGACAGAATAAACTATATTATTATAACTGCATCTTTGAGATATGGCTTAGAACATATGATTAAAGTTGCATTTTATGTGTAAAATGCCTGATCGCACAGCAGATACATGGCATTTTGACAGTATTAACTTCCCGTAGGACGAGTTATAGTAATCGCAAAAAATGGAAAATAAAAATTTTAATATATCTTTACGTTTCAGAGGTTTCTGAACATTTTGGCATACTTTAGAAAAAATTTATGTGCGCGTGTGTGTATGTATGAGCGGATACAATTTTTCGTCGACGATTTCGATAACACGAATCAACCAATTTGAATAATTCAAAAATATTCAAATATTGGTAATTTTTTTGGAAAGGCAGGTCTAGCGGTTTCAGAGATGCCATAAAAAAAGCCAAATTATCACAAATTCTACAGATATTTTAACAATAAGAACAAATTTTGTTTACATTTCTATGGGTTCCGTACCAATGTTTATCCGTTATACTGCGACGCGGCGACCACGCGCTTCGTTATTTCGTTTCTACGTAGCTAACGTATCGCGATTGCTTTAAAAAAAAGTTCAAAATTTTCAAAATATTTCATACTATATAAACTTCAAAAATTTTAAAAATCTCAAATTTTCATTATTTTCTCAAAGTTTCTAAAAAAAATTTCTTTTAATAACTTTAATTTTTAGTACGGGAAGTTCCAGCAATTTGCATTAAGGCATGATACCATGCATCATTAGTTTTGAATTATTTTGTAGGAAAACGGGAACATAGCATAGCCTTGCCATAACAATGGTCTATTTTTACGATAACGCAGTAAAGTATAGAACACAAATCAATTTTGGTAATAAGTGTAGATATTGAATTAGTTTTTATTGCAAAACAATTATATTGAAAGCTAATTACATTTTTTTCCAGAAAAATAGTAGTGAATGAGAATAATTAAGGGAAAAGTGCCAAAAACTAGCATTTATTTCTTAAATTTAATGATCATTATCCATTCGAAAATGGAGATCGCTTGATAAACTTTTAACAAAATGCATTAGAATTACAAATAAATTAAAACAAAAATAATTCTACCGCAATAAAAAAACAGCTATCGATATCGCTTTCTCTAAATATCTTTTGATTTTTGTATCAAAACTTATGTTGCAATAAACAGTAATATACGACACCTTATTAACTTCCCGAATAAGTTTATGTTTTCGCCATTCTGAATCAAATGAGACCAAATTTGGAAAAAGTATGTGTTTTTTTTTTGTTACAATTTTTTTTTTTTTAATCAAGACTTTAATGTCTTATTTACAAAATTGATATGAGCAAAAAAATACAAAAATACAAAAAAAAATTCAATAAATTGAATATAAAATGAAAATAGTTAAAATAAAAATAAAATGAAAACAGTAATTCAAAAATAATAACATAAATGAACTATGACGTGATGATGTATGCCGCGTAAAAAGTATGTGTGTGTGAGCCGATTTTTGACTTTTCGTCGACGTTTTCTCAAAAAACGGCTGTACCGATTCAAACATTTAAAACTCAATCGATTTAACTCCATAAGGACGAGCTAGTTGACTAGTTTGCCAGCTTTGCACGATGATCAGCCAAGCAGCAGGAATAATATCTCTTTTTCGGAAATTGTCAATATACGAACCATAAAACAATATTCGCTTTGGACAGTATATATTTGTTCACATCTGTGGGACAGAACTACATTACAGATAATCAGTAAGTCGATTAAAGTCCAAAAACAAATTTCAAATATTTTTTTTTAGCAATCTGAAATACATAAAGATTCCTATGAGCTAAATTGACAATATTTAAGAGTCTAAGAAGGTGTCTAAAAGAGGAACTCCAATAAGATCTTCTTAGTTTAACAATTAATATGATAATATTATATTAATTTAATATATTAGATATTATATTTATAATTAATTTCAAATATTCGTGAATAAATTTTGTGCGAGTACTAGATCAGTGTTGCAAGTGAATAATTTTTGCTTCTCAATTCAAAAACATTTTTTATATTTTCCTACATTTCCTTTTTTTACTTTCATCTAGTAGGTACATAATCCATTTCTTTAAAAAGATCCCAATATTCTGTAATAATCATCATTAATATTGTTAGTCTACATAAAAAATTGTTTCGGACAGAAAAACCCGATGATGAAATGTATCTAGTTCTGAAACGTCTTACATAAAAATTTCCAAAAAACTAATTGTTTTTTATTAACTTCCCGAAGGAGAAGTTTATGTTTTAATAAAAAAATCCGATTCGTTAATTTTATGTTTTCTCGACATTTCATGCCATTCTGAATCGAATGAGACCAAATTTGTATAGTATGTGTGTGTGTGTATGAGAATAGACTTTTTGCCGTAAATCGATGTTTTCTCAAAAACGGCTGGATCGATTTCAAAAATTTAAAAGCCATTCGATGTATCTCGATGAGGACTAGCGTTTATCAATTTTGCGTGGCGATCAGCCAAGCCGTTTCTTCATAAATAGCAGAAAAGGGAAAAAAATCGTCCACGTTTTAGTCCGCAATTCTGAATCGATTTTGTAAAATTCAAAAACTGTTCGAAAGATACTGGTTGGGAATCGTGCTGATTAGTTTTTGGTAAAGATCGGCCGGGCCGTTTTCTTGTAATAAAGTGTTAAAAAAATTTTTTTCGACGATTTTTAAGAATTTGTTTTTGACGGTAGATACCATAGTCTCATAGCTCATACTAAAATATTAAGGCCCTACGACAAGTCGTTTAATTTTGAAAAATTCGTCAAAGTTTGCGAAAATTAGTATCGTTTTTTTGGCGTTTGTCAAAATTAGACTTTTCATCGACGTTTGCTCAAAAACGCCTGAACCGATTTTAGAAATTTAAAAGCTATTTTATGTATCTCGTGAGGGTTATGATTTGTCAGTTTTGTGCGAAAAAAAGTGTTAAACTTTTCGTCCACATTTAAGCTCATACCACCATATCGATTTTAAAAAATCAAAAACTGTTCGAGAGATATTAGTTGGGAATGATACTGATTAGTTTTAGGTAAAAATCTACCAAGCAGTTTTGTTGTAATTAACTGTTAAAAAAAATTTAAGCCGATTTTCATGGAACTTTTTTTGGCGATATATATCATGGTCTTATAGAACATACTGAAATATTACGTCTTCACAAGTAGTTTAATTTTAAAAATTCATAAAAATTTGAAAAAATGAGCAGTTTTTTTGACGTTTGTTAAAATTAAAAATAAACGATTTACTTGGTATAATGATAGAGTACTTGATCTAAATGAACATACTCAACCATTAAGGTCCTACAGAAACTGGTTCAATTATAAAAATTATTGAATTTTGAACATTTGCTTTTAGAAAATACTCCGAGAGTTAACGTTCGTTTTCAATTATGTGTAATAAATCTACTCGGAATACTTTAAATCACTCATAAATTAATTTATTTTTTATTGATTAAGTCGATTATTTACACATATCGGGAAGTTCTTGTAACTTGCCTCAAAGCAAAATACCAAAACCAACTAGTTTATTGGATTAATTATTCGGAAAAGAAACATCATAATTTATATATATACACATACACACACACAGATATATATATATATATATATATATATATATATATATATATATATACATATATACACTAGATGACCCAATAGACATTGTTCTGTATCCATGTCTACAATTCAAAAGTTCCATTTTTTTAATAAACTATACTGATATTTATCAATTAGATACAAATTATTATGTGTTTTACACTATAGTCTATAACTATACCGAAATGTATATACAACCATATGAGTGATCTTAAATGTGGAACTGCTTGAAATAAAATGATGAGTCTCAGAACCTACAACTAACTCTTTAATTATACTGTGAAATTCAAATTAGCCAGGTAAAACTATCAAACAAACAAATATTGAAATATGTTCAATAAAATAGTATATTAGAAATATACACTACAATTTATTGAACAAATTCATTAACAATAACTCAATTTATTTTAAATCCAAGGATAATCCAATATTTTTACTCATATCCGTAAATGTCGATGTATAAATGATTTTTTGTTTATTCACGACTAAAACATCGATTTTCCAAATTTATCACACAAAAATTCATTGTCTGCCTTTATGATTTATAGCATAAGATATACATATTGGAAATTGCAGTCTTAAACGATATAACAAATTTGAGTTATGATCAGCAGCAAAAATGGAAACAAAATGAATCGACTTTTGTGATTCCTCAAGGTATTTAAACTGGTAATAAATTCCCTTAACTTGAAAAAATACATAACTACGTGCAGATGCTTCTCTTATTGAGCATAAAAAAATTGAAAAATTATAAATAGAGCTTATGCCACAAAACTTTAAACGCCATGAAAATTAAATGAAAAAAGATGTTTTTGAAAGGTATTCAAGAAGAGATCTTATTAAATGTTACATATTTTCTAACATAAAAAATATCAATTCTATTGACATTATATTATTATATGTATAACACATCACTTAATAAGATTGTAGGATATATTGTAACTTATTGTTAATTTAATAGTAAGATATGCAACTTTAAATTTATTAGTAGTAGTATATATTGTAACTGGCCATTACAAAATGTTATAAAACATCAAGCAAATCCTTTCTCAATTATTGATTAATTTATATGAGAAATGATAATAAAATTGGGACCTAATTTTAAAATTGGTTTTATTGATTTATTTGTAAATTAATATGCCGTTCCGAAATATACCAGGTCTTTATAATATATAAATAAAAAGTAAAGTATAAATTAGCTGATATCTATGTTTTGTTAAGCTGTATTTTCTAAATAATTGTGATTTGGTTTTCTAATTTTCTGTCTGCTTTTTCTTGTAGTCGCCTCTGAGTCATTATATATAAGATGAAAAAATTATATGTTACCTTTGGAAGGGAAGTTGAATCATATCAGTATCGGTCATGATTCTATGCAAATAATCGGGCACATTGTCAAGGGTCTGTGGACCACCCATATTCAACATTAAAATTCCAGTATTTGGTCGAGAAGATGAACTTAAATGTCTTTGCATTTGTTTTCCTATTTGAGTAAAATATATTAAAAGTGAGTTGAAAAATTAATAAAATAATATATGAACCGAATATTTAAATATTCATTAGTGTTCTCTCATTCATTTTTCTAAGTACATATATATTCATATATACATCACATTTGCGTTTACATCAATATATTAAACAAGCATTCAAAATAAAATTCAAATTTTAAAACTAAAAAGTAACTTCTTAATCCTAACCTAATTGTAATACTCTATAACTGTAATTATTCATATTGAGTATAGTAAATAAAATTTAACCCTGAATAATTAGTCTATAATTTCACTTTATCTTCGTATAAGTAAATCTCCAAATTAGTAATGAACTCTTATTATAAACAAAAATGGCAAATCAGTTGTCACATTAAATAAAATTGCAGGCACAAGGCTGACAAGTGACAACCTACACAATGTTTAGAAAATAACAATTCATACATGACAAGGAGACATGTTGGGTCTGTTCGATGCGCACAATTTGTGACAAATGACAAGCTGACCAACTGACCATAGATAAACTAGTTCAGTGGTTCCTAACCTTTTCAATGTCACTACCCCTGTGAGCAAGTATGGGAATTGAGTTTACCCCTAGCTAATTTAAAATAATTAAAACCACACAAATTTGAACAAAAATATATTTATTATCCAACTCCATTTATAGAACAAATGTTTGGTCTTTAATTTTTGCAAAATATTCTTTTTCTTTTTGTGTACTCAGATTTTCAAGAAACAATCCAATTTCTTCTCGTAATTCGTAAACCCTACTTACGTACGCACGCCTTAGGGAGAGCCAAAACGAGTTTTGAAAATCAAATTTATAATATATTATAATATTTTTTATTATTTATATAAAATCTAGAATACTTAATAAATTATAATAAACAATCTAACTTAACTAGGGATACGTATTCATTTTGCAATGTGATATCAGTAGAAATAACTAACCGATTAATAACTCTGTTTATTGCTTAATCCGCTTATTCAATTTTTTTTTGTTTGAAGTTACCGTGGAATCGAAAAAATCGAAAAAAGAAATTATCTAGTGTTCAATCCCATAAGCGCAAACCTGTGAAAGATTAAATTAATTATTGGGCATTATTGACGAAAAATTGCAAGCTGATTTAGTTTAAACAAATTATAATCAGGAAAATGAAAAATGAGGAGTCAGTGCTTAGAAAATGGCATGTTTATTCCGAAAAATTGAATTGTAACTTTTGTTTTTGTTGCAAATGTTTCGCATCTGATGAACTTTGAGTGTTGAAGGCATGTGTGGTTATGGGAATGGAACACATATGAACAATGAAAGCAAAATTTACTCTGGAACAAAAATCTTAAGGTCTTTTTTTTTACCTAGTGCTGTAAATTTAATAATAAAAAACTATGCAGAAATAATACATATCACAAATAATTAGTTTTTTTTTAAATAATTCAAGAAATGTGTAATTTCTTTGCATTTTTCACTGACTTTTGGACAATACTTCTAAAATGCGTTAAAAATGTAACTTTAAAACCTGATACTCTAAATATGACGGTAAAGCAAGGATAAATACAATTAAATTAAAATTTAAAAAATCCAACATGACATGAAAAGTTAGTTTTTTTAGCTCTGTTGGCATAAGTTGTTCAATAGAATAATTTGCCTAATAAATAAGTAAAATGTTTCAAAGCCCAAATATTAATATTGTACATACGTTAAAAATAATTGAAGATTTAAAAATATTTGATTATAATCAAATTATTAAAACCTAGTAATTCCTCGATTTACTATATAAATTTAAAAACAATGTATGTTATACGCTTTTAGATTATATTTAATTTTTTGTATACTAAATCCAGAATAATTAAAAATTCATTGTTAAAAAATATGTAAATATTCATATAATTTTAATGGCAAACTGTTAAAACATTTAGAATTAATAGGGGGGGGGGGGCGCTAGAAAAAAAGTTGCATGCGGGCGCTAAGGACCCCAGGACCGGCCCTGTCTGTATGGTACAAAAGAGCATTAAATGTAGCTCCTATTACATCGCATAAAACTTTGAATAATCTTGAGTTAGTAGCGCTGCCTCAAATGTGATTAACTCAAGCGCTGCCTCAAATGTGATTTTTACAACGTGTTTAGCAAATCTGGTGGAAGCGTTTTCACAGCCAAAGCGAAATGGTGTATCAGGCCATTTTCCTCACTAAACTCTTTTAGCGTTTGAAATACGTCTTCGCCGCGTTTAGTAGTAGGCAAAGACTTGCAGAACAAATATACATAGGACTTTCCTTTATTTCGTTTACCGTACGATTATTTCGTTTATTGATATTAGGGCCGCAATATTTTAATATAATCTAGAAGACTATGGTATCTACCGTCAAAAAAGTAACAATAAAAATCGTCGAAAATATTTTTTTCAACACTTTATTACAAGAAAACGGCCCGGCCGATCTCTACCAAAAACTAATCAGCAAAATTCCCAACCAATATCTTTCGAACGGTTTTTGAATTTTCAAAATCGATGCAGAACTGCGGGCTAAAACGTGGACGAAAAAAGTTTCACTTTTCTGCTATTTACAAAGAAAAGGCTTGGCAGATCGTCGCGCAAAATTGATAAACTCTAGTCCTCATCGCGATACATCAAATGGCTTTTAAATTTTTGAAATCGGTACAGCCATTTTTAAGAAAACGTTGATTTACGGCAAAAAATCTGTTCAGACACACACACATATACTTTTTCCAAATTTGGTCTCAATCGATTCAGAATGGCTTGAAACGTCGAGAAAACATATCGGATTTTTTGATGAAAACATAAACTTTTTCAGGAAGTTAATAATTATTTCCCCCCGAAATCATTTGTTTTGCCAACACAAATCGGATGTTCAGTTCTCTCAAAAACTGCCATTTTTGCACATTTAGCTCGGTATCTCCACTCATTACGAATTGAATGATTTCTAGATTATTCAAATCGGATGCTGCGTTCTCTCCAAAACTCAATTTTTATTTTCTGCGCTCTTTGCTCCGTATCTCCGAAACGGCTAAACTTGCCTTGGCCAAAAACTAATCAGCACATCTCCCTATCAATAGGAATCGAATGTTTTTTGAACTATTCGAATCGGTCGATCCGGACGCCCAAAAACGTGGACGAAAAATTTTATCCATACATACACACACACATCCATTTTTTTGAGGTATGCCAAAATGTTCAAAAACCTTCAAAACGTGAAGAATTACAATAACTTACCCCACGGGAAGTTTAAAATTCGGTTTCAAATTAGGTTGCAATGACTACCAATATGCCCCATAAACATTTTTATGTAGCCTGCTTTGCAGTAGGTAAACCAATCGTATAATTTGTGCCCCTTTCATTTATATACCATATATGGTTTGATACTTATACATTCAAAATCAGTTAGTTGTTTTTTTTTTAAATTCTAGTTTTTTTCTAGAAATATCACAGCGTTACCATAACATTTCTGTTTTATCGGAGAATTGGCTTCTCAATATAAAAAAGGGTTACTTATTAATTGAGACATAGACCTTATGTTATAGATAAGAAATTGCCTATTATGCATTATTAACTTCCCGCAGGTTAAGTTATAGTAATCTCAAAAAAATCGAAAATGAAAATTTGTATATATCTCTATGTTTCACAAGTTTTAGAAGTCATCATTTTGACATACCTTAGAAAAAATGGTGTGTATGCGAATCAGTGGCGGATCCAGCTTCGGCGTCGGGGGGGGGGGTCATAATTGAAAAGTTTTTATAGTCCTCAATGAGTATGTAATATATATATATATATATATATATATATATATATATATAAGATAGAGCGGGGCTTAAATATTTGCGGGTAAAAAGATCCGCCACCGATATCTCACAAACAAGTAAAGTTAAGGATTTCTTAACAACAATATTTGAAAGTAGAGGAAAAAATGTACAACTAGCCATCACCCTGATTCTTACGACGTTAAAAAAAGTATTTGTTACAAAAGATAAATTAAATAAATCTTTATTTCAACTCTGCTGGTGACTATTTTGGACAAAATATCAAATCAAGAGACAAGATATTGGACAAAGTATCAAATACAGAGTTATCTCTGTAAAAAATGTATCTATAAAATTCATATTTTTTATTGGTTGAGTAATGTAGCTATTATTTCGTTAAATCTTTTTAAAATTAAAAATAGTAAATTGAATTGTTTGTCCTCTCGCCGTCCGATTTTACCACGCCTTTGGGGTAAAAAAAAGACCAAGTGACAAATTTTTTAAAAACAGCAAAAAAAACACATTTTTGCAGTGATGAATTAACTGGAGGTTGTACTAGAACATAGTCAGATGGTTTTTTGTTTATTGTGTCTTATTGGTTGTTATGTTTTTCGTTTAGTTTTCACAACATAATTGCTCAAATTTACTTAGCCTTACCTTATGTATGTGTATTTTTTAAAAAACAATCTGCGTCTTTGACGTGAGTCAAAATTCGATCTTTCCTCGATGTTTTCTCGTCTAAACCGATGTTAAAATTTAAAAACTATAAAATGAAACTGGATAAGCGCTTGCGTTGATTAGTTTTTTGAGACAATTGGTCGATCCGTTTCTTTACTATTGGCAGAAAAGTGCAAAAATTATCGTCCATGTTTTTGTAAAAAATTCTTAACCGTTTTTTATTCGATTGATATCATTTAGAAATAAATAGTTTCTGTCGAAGATCGGTCAAGTCGTTTCTTTTTCATAATAGATTTTCACATTTTTTGGCGATTTAAATGAAATTTTGCATGGCGATAAATTTTCTACTCTAAATGAACGTACTAAACTATAATAAGGCCTGCGACAAGTGGTTTTACTTATGATAATTAAAGTTTGGATTATTTGGCCGCGCTTTTAAAAAATTCACCGTGTGTATGTATTCGGCTTCGTATTTCGTATGTGTTCGTTTTCCATCAATGTGTAATATTCAAACCATTTTTTAACTAGTTTGTATTGGTATTTTGCCTTTAGGCAAGTTACATGAACTTCCCGAAATTTGTTAATAATCGACTTTCAGTGAAAAATAAATTAATTTATGAGGGATTCAAGGTATTCCCAGTGGATTTACAATATCACACATAATTGAAAACGAAGACATTAACTCGGAGTATTTTCTAAAGGCAAATTTTCAAAATTCAATAATTTTTATAAGTGAACTAGTTGCCGTAGGATTTTAATGGTTTAATATGTTCATTAAGACCAAGTACTCTATCGATAAACCAAGTAAATCGTCTACTTTTAATTTTAACAAACGTAAAAAAAACTACTCATTTTCTCAAGCTTTGATGAATTTTCAAAATTAAACTACTTGTCGTAAGACCGTAATATTTTAATAAGTTGTATAAGATCATGATATATATCATCAAAAAAAGTTTCATAAAAATCGGCTCAAATATTTTTTTCAACGACGAAAT